CCTTCCTCACAGGCAGGACTACCTTGCCCCCATTAGTGATGACTAGTGGTGAGTGACGCCTTTAAATGCCTTTGAAAATGAACTCACGAACTCTGCAGTGTCGTGTCGGAAATCAAGTCATCTACGCAGGTAATGTCTCGGAGGATACTGTTAGGCGTCTCTTGAAAAACTCCCGAGTTCACTCATAGGGGGAATATGAGTTACGTACTGTTTCTAACGAAAAACCATCGCGAAAACCTAATTGGCTTTGCTCGAAGATGTTGCCGAACCCAATGGAGTGAGGTTAGCTTTTGGCTGCGGTGCCCTACTGCTTGTCTGTGTTGTTTTTTTCAGTTTTTTTCTCGCGGTCGTGTTTTCTGATGAGAAAAAATTCAACTGCGACGGCTCCGACGAAAACCGATTCCGCTGGCACGACATGGGGAAAGATAAGTTTCATTTTTCCGGGCAGAAATTCAAAGGATGGTCTGGGCTGCTACCGCATCAAGGGTTCGTCTGAAACTATGACAAAAGAAATTATTTCTTCCGTCATCTGAAAGTCACGCGACAACGTCTCCTTGCTTCTGGCGTAGAAATCAGCAAGAAAGTCCCGTTTTCATGCAAGATAATGCACCAGTTCATGACAGTCGAAGCACTCGAGCGTGATTCAGTTGTCACCAAACCGCTCTTTTGCCCTGGCCAGCGAGTAGCCCCGACTAAAACCCAATCGAGGATGTGAGGGGCTTCATGGTGCGTATGATCCATGAGAGTAATGCACAATTCCACAAGGTCCGTGAGCTTAGGAGTTAATCATTGGGGCAGTCGGCCGACAGCCTATTAAAATCTCTAATCGAACATGGGCAACCGTATTTTCCAACTTAATTGGAGAAATAGAGTTCCAATAGATTACTGGATCAAAATTTATTCATTTTATTGTACATTGTTGTTGGAATATTCGATTTGTTCGGTGGAACTATACTTTTGCTGCTTGTCAGAACGACCATTTTTGAAAAAATTGACGAAAAAAAATTGTTTTTTCAAGCTAGAGTTTGGTGTTGGCATGCGAATTGGTATTGGTAATTACCACATTTTCTGTATGGGGCATTCT